CTAAGGCAAATGAAGTAAAAGCACAAGAAATGTCTGGAAATGCACAGAAGCAGTCTGTGGCAGGGCTCTGAAACAATGCTGGGATTCAGATGCTTAGCAATTTGAAAAAAACGTTATTTTACAGCACACACTAAAGCCTTGCCAAAGGTCCTTCTACACATCTCCTATTTTAACTCAGGCATGGAACATGTAAAAATAAATAAAATGGAAACTTCTTAGAAAAATAAAATAAAAGATTCCACAAGGCAGAGTTATATCAGAATCCTGAGATCTACATCATGGAAAAGGATGAGTTCCTTAATTCATCCCAGACTGTGAAAAGGATCTGTTTTATGAAGCTATGGCATGCTTCCAGCTGCTACCAGAGGTGGTCCAGACTTTATAGGAAATTCCAAAGATAGCCGATCCCAATGCACAAAAAAAGCACAAATCTTAGTGACTGAAGGGTGGATCGCAACTTTGTACAAGTCCAGCTTGAGCAGCCTGTTTTGCAGACATGAAACACAATTGGAAGGCTAGAGAAAGACAGAGATGGAAAGGGAGGCACAACCTGTCTTCTGTCCTCCAGTCCCTGACATTTCCAGAAAGGAAATTCCACCGTGCCAGAAAGAAGTACTTAAACACCAAATATGTAATGCAAATATGCTTTATGCAGTGTACTGTAGAACCAAGGTCTCAGTTGACAGAAATAAAGCCATTTACAGTTAGTACAGAAAAGGAAGGAGCTGTAAGCTTTTTCCTGTAAACCGAAAGGGAATTTAATTTTCATTATGTGAATTTTCAAGATTACAAACAGTTTTTGAGGTATAAATTGACATCGCAAACCAAGGAATGGGCGTATATCAATCAACTGTATATCAACTGGTACTGTACTGTATATTGTGTATTTGAAACACAAGTTATACAGAATATAGACTCTGCTCAAGTGATGCTTACCACTGTATTAGTAACCTCTGCTTGAGGGACATCGTATGACAAATTTAAATGCCAAAAATGAGGGATCCTACAGTGCAAGATATCCGAGATATATAAACGGCAATGAATTCCCTTCCACTACTATTGCTATTGCTCTTTGGCAACAGCTATCTGTTGTACAAGTCAAACATGTTAGTTTTGCATTCACCTATTAAAAAAATATACATTTCTTCACTTTTCTTGAACCACATAAGTTATATTTCTTCACTCAAGAAAGGTTTGAAGGAAGTGTGTATACAGGTATAGTGATGTCAGTTATTTTCCCACTATTTTTGTGCAAAGGCTTGCCCCTACTCAAACTACAATAGATTTGCGACAACATTAAACAGGAGTACAGTGATGCAATGGATTTTTTGCATACTTACAATGGAGGTAGGGATCCACAGGGAGAAATGTGAGACTCCCTTATAATACAATAATACAATGAGATCGTTATAGGAACATCATTAAAAACGCTTCCTTTGTGTGTGGGCTGTGCAGGTTCAGACAAGGCATGGACTAAATCTCCACCAATGGTTCTGACCGCAGCTGCCACACAGACTGAACAAATGGGCTTGGCGGGCCAGTATCTCTGACATCCCTTCTTTATATAGTAGTTACTAACTATGATATATGAAACTGAAATAGTTCTGTGATTTTGTCTCAAAAAGTCAGTAGCACCAGTACATCCGAAATCACAGAATCAACATCATTTTCAATGACTAAAAATATGATACACCCTACAAAATATGTGAAATTAGTCCCATGTACATTTCTAAAGGGAGCTTTTGCACATGTTTCTCATTTATAAAGACAATTCATCTATTACATCTATTAGTGTCGTAGGCCTTATGGACCACCTCTGGCACTGCCTGAGGTTTCATTGTTAATGTGTAAAGCAACCTCGTCTGTCCTGTGTATTCATTCTTCATTGACCCCTTCCCTTCTGCTTTGTTGCTTTTTAATTCTACATGTAAAAATACAGAAAAACATTCACGGAATCACACCCATTAAAATATGACTAATTTTGGATCTGAATCACAAACTGTATATAGATTCTAAGAAAAGTAGATGAACAGAAACTACAGAAGCAGAATAAAGTTGATCAAGAGGGAAGTATCTGCAGCCTTTTCATGTATTTATATAAATTAAAAGTGCATGGAGTGTATTCACTCCAAACATAACTGAGCTTAGAATAAGGACTAAGAGCCTGTTCAATTTTCCCTTTGATGTATGCATGTGTTCTTTTTCCCCGTTCTTAAATTCAAAACATTCTACAGTGCTAAATCCCTTTTTTATACAACTCGTCTACCACATGATTCCCAGAAATTAAAAGCCACAGAACACAGAACACTCAGAACTTCACTCATGCTTAAATATAACTTATGATTTCCCAGCTAAGCTCCATATTGTGCAAATTTCTCCTTCCCCCTCAAACCTGGCTCGAGTTAAAATAATCCATCAAAATAGTGTCAGCTATTTCTTTTTTTCAGTGTTTGTTTTTTACATGAAGGATGCTAGTTGTGTATGAAATTAAGTCTAGTTTGCATTTTATACAACCAATAAAAACAGTACAGTATCTGGTTGTTTTTTTATATATGTGTGTATTATTTTAGCTCTTTCAAGCTGGGACACCAACAAACAATCTTAAGAAACCTGCTGCCAGGAATGCAGAAATGCCATGCTTATCAACATTCTCATTGTGTACTGCCGCTAAATCAAACACCCTAATGATATTTGTGGAACAAACAGGAAATTTGCTGCCACATTCTCTAACAATGAAGCTCTAGCCACTGATGTATGAGAACATCAGATGACTCGCTTTTAAGAAAAAAAACATTTCCTGGCGTTTTAGTAAAACAGAGATTGAAATAAGACTCTCACCACATAGCAGTTTTTATCAGTTTCAGGTTTTTACAAGTTGCAAGCTACAGTATAATACAAACTGTACTGTTTAAGGAGACAAAGATATGTACTGTACATTCATAGTTTAATATAACTTTAACTCCACATCTTTGGACATAAATAATTATTTGGATTAATATGGCAAACATTAAATATCCAGCACCTGATTTGGTTTATGTTGACAACGTTTTGTAATTTTATCTTTAGTAATTCTTATAAATTGAAAGCATTTAGTTATACTATTTGGAATGTTACTTTTATGAGCAGCATAAACATAACATATACTCTTTAAAAAATGTAGGAAATTATTGTTTTTCCAATAAATAATACCCATGTCCTTTCACCTTAAGAATCACCTAGTCGGGCACAAGTATCAAACAGTGTACAGTATGTGTTAATTCAGTATATTAAACAGCAGGGGACATCCTATCCCGTGTTCAAAGATTTAAATCACACAATGTACAAAAAAGTATTATTTTATATTTATAATATATTTTTATAATAACAGCTTTTTTTGCTATGCAGAAGATGTTTTCTACAGCTGTGAATCTTGGGTCTTATTTCACAACAGTCTGTGATCTACGCCTACTCCCAGAGGAGAAATGAGAAAAAATCAGATTTTATCATCTGGTGTCAACTTTGGCAGCCAAGTTAAGAAGAATTAATAAGAAAGAGATGACTGGGTTGTGCTGAACTTCTTGTGTTTACATACAGCTTTTAACTGAATACCAAGGTTTAGATACAAAGACCTTGAAAAGTCTGGACTGTGTTTTTCAGTTACTAAATTGTTCTGATATTAAATGAAGCTGAATAATAACACAGTTTAGGACATTGTTTATCTTTATAATAGAATACCAAATGTGTTGTAGTATTTTATGTGGTATCTGTGTAGGTAAACAGTCCATAAGGCACATTTTGTGATCTCCATTATTATTCTTTTGATGTGATTTTGGAGAATTGCAACATTTGTAATCATTAAAATGTAACAGTAGAGCTGATATACCTTTTACAGACTGAGAGTTTATTTCCAAAAGGTAACTTAGCATTCTTACAGGAAATTTTGAACTTTTAGTATATTCAATGAAATACCAAAGATTTTTTAAATCTTTCTGTGGCTTACACAAGTATTCATTGAATATACAATCAAAGCTGAATACATAGGTATGTATTTATTTTATGTTTTAAAGGTTTTAAATGTATACCATGCACTTAATGTTTAATAACAGTTTTGTATGACTACATAAGAGTCACAAATCTGTATAGGCCTCTGCAATATTAGCAGAGTTCTTTAAGATTTCTACCAAGATATCAAAGACTATATATAGTTTGTCCAAACGATCTGTTATAAAATACTTTTTTATTTGTGACAGTAACCTAGAAAAAATATGTTCACTGCACTTTCCTGGAGATGGCACACTGCCACTTTGCATTAGCTCTAGCACAGTTTCCTCTGATTTAGATTTCAAGAGGGCAGTCAAATTCCATCAGTGACTTAAGCTGCAAAAATAGAACACTACAGCACATCATTTCTGCAGGATATTGGTTCTCCACAAACCTAAATGTACACTCTTTAAAGGCAGATGCAATGTAAATTGCACATCATGGATATTGGCTAATCACCACACATTCAAAACTGCCAGTGTAATGAATTCCACTCACTTCTATTCCATTACTTACTTATGGCAATTTAATACATGGAACAATATGTGCAAGTAAATCATCTGTACTATAGATTAGATATGTCACTCTTTCACTGTTTGAAACTAAAGAAGATATCTTTATAGTGCAACAGTTTGTAGGTTTTTTACATACAGGGGGAACAAAAACAGGAGCACTTAGTGAACTAGTTTCCTGCTTTTTCAAAAGCAGCTTTACTTCTCAAAAAATCTGCCATTCACTGGATGAACTGGTTATAGCTTTCAAATGCTTTCTTTAATTGCCTGCATGAGTATATGATGCTGTAGGCTGGGAGCTGATTTAATGCAGTGCTTCTACAAAGCCCACACTTCTATGTTGTTACCTTGGTTACCTTGATTATCCTATAGCCTATATTCAGTGTTACAGAACAGTGTATATGAAGAGGGGGGCATCAGAATGGGCTGTTACATCACACAGGGCCTAACTAGGGATCTTAGCTTTACCTGTTGTTGTAGCAGATGAATTATCCAGCTCTCCCAGGTCTCTTAGAGGGCCATGGACTGGCGTCTCAGCTTCAGGTGTCTCGAAGTTTCCCTCAGAGTCCGAGCTGTAAAAAATGGACAAAAGCAATTCACCTAATAATCCATGTTTGGGTTGACTTTATGTACCTGAAGTCTGTTTTCTTGTGTTTCTCATCACCATGTAATGAAAAAGCTTAACGAAGAACAATGTTTATGTTACAAGAAAACACAGATACAACAGCATTTACAACATTATTGGACACTGGAGAATCTTTTACCAAAGGTTGATACATATCAATACAATAATATGGGGATTTTGATGTTTTAATTTATTTCTACAGATTCAAATGCAGAGGTAGTTCTTTGAAACCTACTGTATATCTTTTTTCTATCTTTAGAACTGCTTACAGGACAAACAACTAAAGTCACCAAATTATCTGAAGGACACCAAAAAAGAGTTGTTTCTGAATTTAATAGAGCAGTTTTCATATATTGTTGGAAAGAGGGAAAAAATGTGTTTCTGCATGAAGAAAACACCAATAATACAGATATGAAAGCACAGATACGCTTTTGTATTTAATTTTCATTTAGCTCTCAATAGTTACCTTTAATTTACAGATGCTCATCTGTGAGCCACGTTTCACATGGAGAAGAAAAATCTGACTTTGGCACTTTATTCTGTTTGCATCAGAAAAACCCAGCAGCTGCATTTTTCTCTAATTTTATTATAGGTCTCTAAATGTTCCGATGCAGGCCTGAAGGGTAAGGAGGCTACTGATTTGGCTTCAGGAAATCTGACAAATAAGAATGTTAGCCCTACAAGAATTTCCTGCTGTTGTTATGTGAGCCACCTGTCATTTAGATTTTGGCAGACTAGACTTTTCAGGGAAGCCTTTAGGCCAATGACAAAACAAAGGATGTCAAGAAAAGGACACAGAGGTGCCATGTTTGTTCAAGGTAAGAGAATTCAAATAAACAGAGTCATCAGCCCTGCAACAATGTACTGCTTTTAACTGAAGTATATACAAGTCTTGGGAAATTTCACAAAAATTGCAGGCGTGGTATTATGTTATTTTTTTAAAAACATTTTAATAACTCAAAACCCAAATTGGACACAAGAGCATTTTTCAGTAGGCAGATTTGTTATAGCACATGCTTTTTAGTGCATATACTTTGATATGATTAGAAAAGGAAATGTGTTTCATTAGCAGCTGATTTACAAAACAACTCTCTGTCTTTGGCAAGGCTATAGGAATCCCATGTGAAAGGTACTGTAAGTTTGACATTAGAAGGAAAAGCAATAATTATTATAGTATAGTATTAAAATTCAGGCCATTGATGATTTCTAAAAGATCAGAAGATATTGCTCTGGATCCAAAGTCAACCCAAAACTATTTGCATACCAGAAATAAATTTAATTAAATCTTTCCCTTGTTTACATCTTAATTATAAAATGTATTTCTTCCAGAAAAGAGCCTTATTGAAGATAATTGAATTTTACGATTATTGCAGATTTATTCAGAATTCATAGAGGTGGAATATAAAAAACACTTAAATAGGACTCTCTATCAAATGCGTCCCCTTTTGTATAAATAAATGAACACCATCTCCAGTTAAAAGAAGTTTTGGGGTCACAAAGTCCCAATTTGTGGAAAAAGACCTGGAAATCTTCTTTCCTCAGCCACTTCCCTTCTAAACTACTATGGTTTATTTCTCTGGGCTGATCTGTTAAATAGTCGCCTTCAACTTTTCTGTGCCCAAGGTTAAATATATTTCTCCAGTTCCTGCCTCATGTCTGTCCAATAGCATCCTCGTTCCTGTGGGAGAGCAGGACTGCCAAATCGGTCTGGCTTTAGTTTTTGTAAATTAATTTCCTAGCTGTGGGTTTTTAGAAAAGGGGAAGCATGCATGTGTCAGGATCCCCCCCCTCCCCCCGACACTGACCATTTATGTCTTACATTTTATTTCATCACCGTAAAAAAAGACAACCAGCAACAAATAGCAGATGACAACCCCACTTCAGGTGTCATTCTCACACAGTACCTCTTGCACATATCTCTTGTCAGTAAGTCTGTCAGTAAATCCTTAAGGAGCACAGAATATAAATGAGCCCAAGCAAGAGCTTTGCGACTATTTTGGAAAGCAGTGTTGGATAGCTTTAGTCTTTCGTCTTGGATAGCTACTTGGAAACTAGGACATGCTAAAAAAATAACCCTGTCTTTAAAAAAAAGCTTCTTCCTTCCCATTTGTGTTAGCTAAAGACTTAGAATACACAGGAGAGGCAAAATAACATGGTTGTCTCAGCCTTTTCCCTCCTTTACAGTTTGTTTAGGAAATGCCTACAGATGTGTTCACTGCCCCTGTCTTCCCACACATTCTAAAGGAGGTAACCCTGATTGCAGTTTTCAAGGGCAGATAAACCAACTATTGACCAAGAATGACAATGTAGGGATGGAGTAAGGAGCAGATACATTCCTAATCCCATTTTAACAGACAGGCTTCAGGACAATGTACATTTAACAGTCACAAGTCAGAAGCTGACATGCATACAAAAAGACACAAATCAGAGGAAGCTGCAGGTTTGACATATACAGTACAAATTATTTACAGGGTAGTGTGCCCATGTTCACTGGAAAAATCTTTCTCCGCCATCATACAGAGCTGCAATTACACCTGTCTACCTGTCAGGTCACCTGTCAGTGAGTCTGTAGCATACCAAATCTAGGAAAATTACAATAATCCCTTGGGCCCTATCTCACAGGTGGAATGAAAAGCATCTCTCCTCCTACCAGATAAACACACACAAATTCCCATGCAGGACACAGGCAAGCCACACCAAACCTGCTAAAAAGATGAACAGGGGGAGGGAAAGACAACTCGCCTGCAGCCCTGGGATTTCTCTTCCTCCTGAGAAAAGTCTTCATCATCTCCAGGGTCGTCCTCGGCCCCCTCCCCCCCTTCTCCCTCCCCTCCTCGAACTGCAGACCAGGTCCACTTTGCCCACTGCACAGGCGACAGCATCTGCCACGGACTGAAAGACATCGTCCCTTGTTCTTCCTCTTCTCTGGGTGCTGCTACTGTGAACTCCGCAAGATGGAGGGGGGCAAACTCGCACAGGATCTGACAGCAAATGTGTTCTTTTTCTCTCTCTCGCTTTCTGACTAAAGCACGGATGTGGTTAAAACATCACAAGTCCCTCAACGACTGCCTCTGCCTTCACTTCCTCTAAAGGCATTCCCAGCAGCTTGTACTCTCATCACCAATGCTTCTCTTTTCCTCTAACTAGGCTAGAGCAGCCCTCCCCTGTTTGTTTTTTTTCCCTTCTCTCTCTCCTCAGTTTTGTAATCCCCTTTCACTCAGCTGAAAGCACTCTCTGAGAGCTCACAGCCTCCTCACTCCCTCTCACTCTACCTCTGAGCACTGAATGCCAAAGCAAAGATCAGCTGGCTGCCAGATAGTGCACACGTTCTCCAGCCCACAGACTGCCTGCCTCTAACTGCCCGCCTCCAACCCCCCCCCCCCCCCCTTCCACAGTTCTTTTTTCAGGGCCGTGCTATTGTCAAAGAACAGGGGGGAGTGGAAAGTTTCTTCTTTCAAAAGGCCAGCCGGTGTAATCGGCACACAAGCCAGGCATCCTTCTGCTGGGGATTGGCTGAAGCCAGCGCTGGAGGAGGAGAGAAGTGATGTCACTCTCACCAAGACTGGAAGCAAGTTTTTTTTTTCTTAAAAAAACAGAGAAGCTGAGGCTCGGCAAACCTTACAATTTCAAACAGGAGACTTGCTGACTGGAATGCCAAACAAGCTGGGTTGTCATGCTGCTGAAGTGGAGCTGCTTTTACAGTGAATCACAGGCTCCAAGGTTAAGTCATGATGTTTTCATTAGAAACCCAGTGAGTTTCCCACTCAACCCAGGCAGCCCTGGTTCTGCTGGCTTTCCAAGTAATAGAGACCCACTCCAAACGAAGGTAGGGATGGCAGGGAACACAAAGTTAGCCATCACATTCTGTACACACCCTAACACATGCACACACAATCATACTTATCTGACATGATCCAGTCTAGTTTTACAGCTTACTGTTAGCCGCAATCACCGTCTGTATTACAACTTATTTGCATACAGATCATTCATGGGCATTAAGAATATGTAAAACAGGATGAGTCACGCACTGTAGGTGTCCCAACAAGTGAGGCAGAATTCTCATCTGCATTAATGCTAAAATAATTCATCCTTTTAAACATGTACATTGTACTTGTAGTCATCTACAAATGCAGTGCGATGACATCAAAAGCCATATCTGCGTGAATAAACTGAGTTATAGACACACCCATCCCTTACATTTCACATGGAAAACAAAGGTTTCAATGAAAAAAACCATTCTAGAGTTCATATAGTACATAGCAGAACATACAGTATCACATACTGTATATCACATTTGAAATACAGTTTCCATATTGTCACTAACATAGCTGCATAGCTATAGTAGAGAAAAGGAATATTCTAATATTCCAAAAAGGGCATTTTGTAAGAAATATTTTGTCATGATTGAATAGGAATTCATCTGAATAGTTAAACTTGTTATTTCCAATGTTGTTACCTATACAGTGCAAGAAAAACTCCAAAGTATGATTTGATATAATACATCAATGCACAACTACTCTGAAAAACTACTTTAGTAGCTCATAATCAAACTCACAATAATACACATAATACTATTTTCTACAGGTGATGGAAATGAAGTCAAGTACCAACCCATCAGCTGCTGAGACATAGAACTGGGGTAATAATATATGTCTACCAAAAGGTCATAATTAACTTCAAACACACACTGTAATGCCCTTCTCCCTAATCCCTGGGAATCACAGTCATTGTTGTCAGATGCCTTATCCCCTGTAATTAAAGTCCTGTAAAAAATACTCCATTGAACTGCCTTGCTTTTTACACCACTGTGGAAGATGTCAATCATTCTGGGCTAACCAATCTCAATCTGCATTTAAACACTTCTACTGCAGGATATGGGATAATCATGTATTGCTGATGGACACTGAATTCAATGAATAGATTACCACATACTTAAGAAATGAGATCTGCAGTGTCTTTATAGCTGTGGCATCAAGGTGCATTTCTCTCACACTTCAATTCACCATCAGGCAGATGAGAGTCTGGATCTAACTAATTCAAATTCAATGAGCTTTATCGGCATGACCAATGAATTACAATGTTGTCAGAGCAATAACAATTAAAAAACACTTACATTGCAAACATTTATAACTAATGTCGGATACAAAGGTAGATAGTTTCAGATCACTCTACTGATAGTTCCAGTCCAATGCAGCGGCAAATTGAAATGACTTGCACCCAGAGTTAGGAGATTCTCTTGGGAGGTTCAATTAATAAAATTTGATATCAAATCTTAAACTGTAAGATGGGATAGAGAATTGCAGATAATTCAACCATGATGTTGTTCTTCTAATTAAAGATCAGTACATTAATTTGAAACAGCTAAGCATTGATCTATTTTGTAGTGAGGGCCTGCAGATCAAAGTGTAATTAACACCTTGATGAGTACAATAGGGGGCAGCAGTGACAAATCTTATGGCAGAATGGCTAATACATCAAGGTGTCCCAAGAACAACTAAGCCATTATTTAAACTACATCAACATAGCCCGAGATGGAGAGTAAGTTTATCTGAACTCTTGTATACACAGGAGAATGTGTAAATCACAATTTGATTTAAAAAGGAATCTAAGTCTAGATCTGACTTTAGCTTGTAATTACGTTATACTGTATGAGTTTTGTCTATTTTTTGTTTTTTTGTCTAATTTATTTCTAGACTTCTAGATGTCTAGTCTAATGTCTAGATTTTTATAAATCTTTTAGAAATCGTATTCTAACCTTTCTTATATAATGGTAAATGTTTATTATCATTACTAAGGGAGCAGCCCGAATTATTTCTACAGAAAAAAGTCTGCTTGTTTTATTTCCCATGATCTTAGTAAGCCAAGTCAAAATGGATACTGATCTACAACATTTCATGTACAACTTGTCAGCCCATTTGAAAATAGGCAAAACAGATATTTTTAGTTTTGCTGGAATTATACCTGCTTCAATTAATACTTATATTAATAATTATTAATAATTGCATGCACTTGTATAGCACTTTTCATCCCAAATGATCTCAAAGTACTTCACCAATGAAGTGCAGCTCCCATCTGAGTGATGTGACTTGTTGGTCTGTACTAAGAGTCCCACAACACATCGGATCCGGTGGAAAAGTACAAAAATACTTCATTGAGTGAATAAAAGAAGAATTTTAGGAAGGCCAGATTGTACAAGCTCAGCGTGGAATTAGCCACTGAGATAACACCCCTACTCTTATGAGAAAGAAACTAACAGTCAAGGCCTCAGTTTAATGTCTCATCCAAAGAACATCTCATCTTACATCTGACAGCACCCCTGTCACAGTAATGGGTGGATATTGGTGTGGATATTGTGGTCCAGAGGGAAGGGAGTCACCCACAGTATTAATCATTATCATATTTATATAGCCAAAGCCTCAGACATTACATTCTGCTAACAAGCAAAAAAAGTAAGAAAAATACTGTACCTGAAATAGTAAGAACTGAAACTGTTTAACCTCAATTGCACTGCTGCACACATGAATGAGTGTATTGTTCTGCACACTGTTGTCACTGGTGTCCATTAGGTTTGTCTGCACAAAACATTGACTCGTTTTTAAAGATACCTTGGCTCGCCTACAGGCAAGTCCACCTAAGGTGCAGATCCAGCATACCAATGTCACACATGTGTGCTTCTCTTGACAAGTGGAGTATGTTGGTTCAAGTACACAAGGGGAGGTGTCACATTTCAAACAACCAGAAAGAAATTCCCCAATGCAAGATACCAAATTAGTAAAAAAAAACAACATACTATAAAAACCTTTAAAGACACTCAATTAAATGTCTTTGTTTCTGTATTTTCCCCTACATTTTCACTTTTTTTCTAAAACAAAATATCATATTCTGAATTTTATCATGAGAGCTTTATTTACTTTGCATCCATCTGTGTTTTTTGGCACAATTAAACCTTCTCAAGTCAGTGCTCCATCTCAAAATGCATTCTCAAGTGATCAAAGCAGTATTTAATGACTCATAGTACCTGGCTGAAGCTTTCTCAGGACTAAATCTGCTGCTCAGACACAAAGACAAGCTATTTACAAGCAAATACACACCACCTGAAAGCAAAATTACTTTCAGCTCATTAAACTTCAAATGGCTGCTTTGATCCCTGATTGTTTAGCACTGGATGCTTAAAACCACCATTCCGTATTAAAAAACAAGAAGAGTAAAAAATTCCTTAGTTTACTTTTCATTACGTTCAGATGAAAGCAACTTTGTTAGCCCATTTCTAATACCATTGAATTTATTTTTTAGGGCTGGTGTTCTTTATACATTAGTTAGATATTTGAACTGCACATTCAAAGCTCAAACTGTGAACCACCAAATCAGTAAAGAGATATCTACCAACTTTATTATTAATAACAATAACAATGAAAACAAAATAAGAAAAAAAAACTTTTTAATTGTATTTACCTGATATTCTCAAATGAAAAGAGTGGTTGAAATGTCTTTACATTATTAAAACATTATTATTGTGTTTTACAGTGTTTTACAGTATTTGGATTAACAATAATGTGACTTATTCAGACTCTGCTGTACTTTTTTCAGAAGAGTGTCCGACCACATTTCTGAATGTGTTTCAAATGAGACACATATTCCTAGGAATTACATAATCCCAGTTAGCCAGTCAACAAAGCTTTATCATAGTGCAAGATGCCTTTTTGTTTTTCTTTGCTAGCAAAAAGGTTGTACTAAGGTTGCACCATAGGAATTCCAGGAATTTCAAGTGTCTCAATAGGAGCGCTTCAGGCAAAACGGGCATTAATATTTAGGTGAGAGGGAAGCGATAACCTTTCAAAAGCAAGGGACACAGAGCTTTTTATTCTCAGGAGGCCCCCGTCCTTGAGCTGTGATTAAAGTTAACTGATCTCATAAAAATGGATCAGTGTCTCATGGATTTATGGAATAATAATAAGGGAAGGAACAGGAGGACAGAGAGTGAGAGGCCAAGCCCTTTCATTCTCTACACATGAGTGAGCTTCATTTAATGGAGTGTACAGAGCTGCAAAACGCTAGGTTTTAAAAATGAAAAGGACAGCAGCAGTCGCAAGATAGATTGTTATGTGCACTACATTTTAATATGGTATAAATAAGCTTTAATGGTGATCTGTATTGTTGTTTCTAGAAGTGAATTGGGCTATGTTTTTCTATATAAAAAATATATAATGTAAAAAAAAATCAGCTTGTGTTAGCCCTGTTTATAAATATTTGCTGTGTTTTTCTAGTCCGTAAAATGTAGTATTTTGATTTACCAAAAAGAATAGTGTAATTAGTGAATAGCTAATTCCACTTAATAGGAGTCTTACAAGAAAGGCAAATGACTAAAA